CAGATTCATATCAATGTGATCCAAATAAAGGATGACATTTATTTGAAAATTAGTTTTAAATATTCAGCGCTCAGAAGACAACCATTTAAAAATAGGATGACTTGCAAATGCTTTAAAATAGATTTACAATTCGATTGTTTACATTTCTATTTTGAATAGCAATGAACAGCCATTTCTTCATGGATACAAAATCGTTTGTTAGTAGAAGTAACTCCACCACGAAATATACGATCTTTGGTTTTCATGCTTTACCAATGTTTGTACTGATAGCGATTGCTATGTTTCCACCTCGTTTGTCAGCTCAGATCAGCAAATGGCTTTCGATAGAATTATGTACACCATCGTGTTTTGGATGATTTACGTTATGAGGCTGAACCAATACCATATGCGTTTCAATTTGGGATAACAATAATTCTACAGAGACCATTACGTATTTCAACTGAGGTCTGTTTGCTTCTCGCATCAATGTTCATTCTGTATTCGAGAGGAAAATCATTTGATTACCAAACAAACCGTCATCCTGTTGCAGCTATCATTCGAGAAAGCGATTTCAATGTTCCGACCTGAATGTTCTGAGGTTTCATTCGAAGAGAGAATATTGTTTTGGTACAGTGTACACGAATAGCTTATTGACAGATACGCACCCAATGACATTTATATAAAGCTGGGTTTAGACTAGTTCAACTTTTTTCAATTCAAGTGAGTTGATTAAGGCTGTGAACCATTTGCCGAGTTAAATTTAACTCGTGGTTAAAAGTGACATTTCGAAAGTTATTTTCTATGTTCGAAAATCCCCGTGCTGTCGATCGACCGGTTTTCGAGCCACGGTTGTCAAAATTTAACTTCTTGTCTGTCAGAAATAACCATGCTCGGATAGCAGGGTTAATCGATAACTTTTCATCTGTCAAATTTTAACCAAAAGTTAAAATAATCCACCAAATGGTTCAGAGCCTAAGTCAGTTGAATGGCATGGTTTACACGATCAATTGACTTGCCCTGCCTAAACCCAGCTTAAGATCCGGGCAAACAGGCAGTTTGCTGGTTTTAGACGCAAAAATATTGTAAACATTTCTGAGCGCTCAAGTGACGACGTCACTCTACCATTACATTCCATACTGCGAACAGTGAGATTTACGTCACTGCCTACAGCTGTTTCGTGTAAAAAGATAAACATTGCCATGAAACACGAACACCACTAAACATTTGCTCATTCTAACACCAATAAGCCTGTTGACCCAGACCTTATATAAAGGACATTGATACGCACCGAGGTTGGTTTAACTTGAGCTTCGGAACGCTCCGAATACACGAATTTGATCCACACACAAATCATGTCAATTTAGGTGCTCTGAGACTGACATATAAGAGCGTCAATTTTGACATAAAATTGAGTCATAACAGACGCGAAGTTATTGATTTTACATGAAATTTTTGTTTACGTCTGATCCTTTATGTCAAAGATGGATTCCGTCACGTGTAAGATTAGTTATTTCTAAGTGTGCATATCTGTGTTGTGGCAATCGAAGATCGGTTTCGAAACGAATGCATAAGATGCGAAGTGAGGGAGATGAAATGAAGAATTTGATTGGGTTGGAAGAGTGCGACACGATGTGTGAACTAGTCATTCGAACTCTCTGTTAACGATTTTTAAAGCGGACAGTCGCTGGTGTTAATCGCGGAGGAGTTTGACTCAGGGATGGCAGATATACAGACATGTCTGTATTCTTACAGACATTTTATCATGCATACAGACTTCATACAGAGTACAGACATTATACAGACATAGGTAAAAAGTTACAGATTTATACAGACGTTGATAATTATCCATCAACATCCAAAAAAAATTTCAATAATTAATCGATTCGCTTAAAACATACATTTATTGTACAGCACATATTTGCCAAAAAGCTGTGATGTTTCTTATACTCGGGTGACACGAGTTTGATGATTGCATGGATTTCACTCGAATTCATTTCAGATTTTGAGACTGGTTTGAATTTTGCACGGATTGGTTCTACTTAGCCTGATTTCAAATATGTTTCAATTATAATTATTTGAAGACTCCATTTCAATAATTTCAAGGACACATTTTCAAATCGACATAAGTGCTTTAGAATAAAATGTCTTCAATTATAATTTTCTCATCGGTTTTTTTTATGGAATCATTGAAATAATGCTCTGGTTTTATAATGTGGCAGTGTTTGATGAAGATTTTCGAAGGTCTCCTAAGTTTTCAGAACGTTTCTGGAATTCCCAGAAAGTGTCTGAACCTCTCTGGAGTATGATAAACAGCTCTGGAATTGGCAGATCCTCTAACTAACTTTTAGGATCTTCGAAGTTTACTGCTTCGTCACTCCTTCGTTTGATTATATCCCTGATTATCTTAGAATTTATCTGAGAAGTTCATCGAACTCCAAACAAATTCAGAGAGCAGCATAGAAGTTTGATGCACTCAAGGGAAGTGTTGCAGATTTTTAATAAATTTCCTAAACTCCGAAGAACGGCTGCGGACTTCTGATAAAGTCAGTGAAATTTGGAGAAGCTCAAGGAACTTCATTGTAGTTTGAAAAATCTCAGATATGCTCCTCTAGCAGCACACTTGTCGTAAAATGATTGTAGCAACTCCTATTCCGGTCTCAATCAAGCTGTCGCAATTGGTCGAGACAGAAGCGTGTTGCTTGTATCAGGAAATTCCTAAAATATGTTTGAGTGAATAACATAATAGTTAAGTGAATTCTCCTAAAATTTAAACTTCAAAGAATTTCAGTGAACTATGAAGAAGCTCAAGGAACATTATTGTATATTAGGTAATACCAGAAAGGCTCAAGGGACACCTCAAGGCAGTTTGGCAAAACTATTCGATTCTTTTTTCATTGACCTAAGAAAGTCTCTTCGAAGACGTTCAAATGATCCTTAGTCAAGCATAGAGTAATTTGAGAGAATTTCAAATCAACTAAAGAATAGTTAAGAGTGCCTCAAAGAAGTTAAGAGAACTTCAAAAAAAGGAAATCTTGAAAATGCTTAGGAAATTGCTATTATGATCTGGGAGAATTACTGGACATTTAAGGAAATTCAGTACTTTAAATTTGTCTAAGGAAATTCAGTACTTTAAATTTGCAAACCAAAACAAAACTCGAAGAACGTCAAAAATGTTTCAAAATCATTAAACATAATAATATAGAGAATCTCATGAAAGTATATGACCCTTAGTCCTAGAAATGTTCATGATAGGCTAATGAAGGTACACAGAACTTGCACAACCCAATGAGATATTACTAGTTGAAAACTCCTAATTACAAAGTTTACTTTAAACCTTTGAATTAAAGTTGAAGCAGGTTAAGGGCTGATTTTACTTCAAATTTCGCCTTATGCAACCTGGACACTGACAGCAATTCGCAATTGGTAATTATTAAAAACAATATGTGTTTATGCGAACTGAGCATTTGCAACCTAGTTCTGAGATACCACCTCCACCCCACCATCACTATGCCAAATCACTGATACAGACATTTCCTTAGCTGCCGTACAGACAATTTTCAAAAGTATCTGGCATCCCTGGTTTGACTGGAGTCGCCTTTGACAGTGAATATTGGAAGAGGCTTGAAACCTCGACCAGTTCATGACACAGTAAACCTTATAAATGCTCTTATTGAACTAGTAAACAATAGGGGCATGCGGAATGAAACCCTACAACAGCAAAACAAAACGAAATTGTGACTTAAGGTCTACTGGAACATTCACATTTTGGATGTTTTCACCTTATTGTAAACCATATGAATTCGCATTTATGCATAATTTACTTCAACATTTTCTGTAATCATAAATTGCGTTCGTCGAAATGGTACGAAACGAAACGAAACGAAATTTTCGATTTCCTGCAATCTGATTCATATTTCGGACACTTAAGGTATGTGCTGCAGAAAACGAACATATACTTTATGGTAACACATTATTAAGTTTCGTTTCTTCGATACATTGCTGAAGTATCTTTCAATTTAGTTATCTGAGATGATGTTTGAAAGTAAACATCAACATTTTTCGAAAAAAAGTGTTATTTAACTAGGGATACCAAGATTCAAACTTCGGACTGTTGTCTGTGAAGAGATCCGAATTTCAGACAGAAAAGATTCATGTTTCGGACACCCAACTTTGTGTGTGGTTTTTTAGGCTACGTACGATAGCAATCACAATCATGTATCTCAAAGTTATTCGTTTATCATACCTACGTTACATATGAATTCATGTTTAATGTCGTATAATCTCATGGAATTAATAAATAAATGAGTAACCCTGTCTTGTCCGAAACATGATCACCTGTTTTTCACAGCGAAAAATTATTTACATTTAGGATATATATTTATTTAATGTTTATACCATATAGATGTATAAGTATTTCAAGATATAATTATAATGTGTCCGACATCAGACACATGAAGCAAAACGGTATTCAACTAAGACCGCACAACCATTTTCCGCATGTTAAACTTTAATAACTCTGCTGTTTTCCAATGTTTAGCGAAATTCCGTATAATTCCCTTTTACACCGCATACCCTTAGTGAACAACAACCTTTTTGAATAAAAATTACCGAAATTACCCGTTTCCAGAAATTCATAGTCGGTATTTCGGTTCGTTTTACGGTACCAAAACAGCATATCTAGATCTTCCAAGCACGGACGAACTGTCAGAAGTAGATTTCCGAGCTTCTCCAGAATATGATTAAAAATCGATGAACATTTTACTCAGCCTAAGGCTCCTTGCGGACGATGTGATCCACTCAACTCACTAATAGACTCGAAAAATTCAACTCCCTTTAGAGCAAATCCATTTTGTTCAAAATCGAGTCCAATTCAACTCAATTTTGAGTGGATCTCACCAACCGTCCGTATAACACTTTATTGAGTGTGTGCCCCGACTATCTCTCTAGTTCTCGAACCGTCCACCACCGACTAATGCAGCGCTTCTCATTCATATCTTTTCTTCACCCTTGCTTCTTTGCAGTTTATGGATATGAACCTGCGCGGCTGGCTGGATGCCACGCTCGAATCGGCCAACTGGTCCCGGAACATCCGCAGCACCAGCAGCCTGGCGGAAGTGAACGTGCAACAGTACTTTAAGGATGGTTATGTGAGTCCCCACCCTCGTCCTATTTTTCCTCGAAATTCCATCCCGCTAATGCATCACTCGAAATCGTTTCAGCAATGGTACGAAGTGATATGTGATATCAGCCCGGGACAGGAGCTACTGCTGAGGCCACGGGTTCCACCGCCTTCGTCCTCATCGCACCGGGAACTGGCCGACGACAGTCGGGGATCCGGTAAGTTGCATGCATTGTACTATTTCAATAAGCCGTGACAGATGTTTTGGCACGGGGACGGGGGCTTAAAGATTAGTTTGATTGAGTCCTGAAAGAAGAAAAGCGAAGCAGTTGCGCGTGATTCAAAAACCGGCGGGCGCAACAATGGGAATTAAAAGCGGATTTTAATGATGGTTGTTGCCGAAAGTCGTCGTTTGGTGCATGCTAAATGCAAATCAAGTGAGCAACGAATTGAAATCGGCTTTTAATCCGCCCGAATGAGATGGTTATCATCGCGTGGCATTTGCTGCTGCTGCTGCTGCTTTAGCACCTGGGTAACCGTTTTCGAACAGTTAGCATGTGCTCACGCGATGGTCGTCCGCCTTGTGGTGGGTTCGTGAAACTGAAATATGCTAATGTTTATGAGGTTAGTCGTCTTTTCGCTTTCGAGCGTTGTTCTTCGGCAACAACCGTGAAAATTAGACACGGTTTGACTTTTTTTCAACCCCTTTTTTTTTGTTGCGTTCACGTGTTTGCATGCAGCATGTGGGGGAAAAGGAAAGAAAGGATGATGCATTTGAAATTGATGCTACTTTTTCTTTCCTTAATGGATGAGGGGAGGGAAGGGGGAATGAAGTCTATGTTCTCTTATGTTGACATTTATAATTTGCAAATTAGGCAGTCATTCGCGTTGTCGTCATGTCGTTCGTCGTCGATGCGCTTCGGTAATAAAGTCATAAAAAATTATTGTTCCCGTGATCGGGCAAAAAACCGTGGGACCAATCGATTTCGCTCGGGGATTGTGCGATGTGTTATAGTTTCGGGGCGGGATTGCGATTAGATTTATGGGTGCGAGCAGCCTGCGTGGTTTCTGGTGTGGATGTTGGGTATCTGATCTGAGGGAAGGGATGAGTTTGTGCCAAAAAAGAGTTCAGGTTGAAGCTCATACGAAGCGTATGAAATACAGATCTACCTCGACATAACGTAACTGTCATTTTTCACCTGTGTTGTTACTCGGCGTAATTGAATACAGTAATGACCTGATTTTGTCAGCCCCTCAACGTATCAGATGTCAAACTATCCGCTTCAGATCTTTCTCTAGTTAATAAATTATCACACAAATGCATCATGTTGATATTAGTATAGCATATCCATCGAACTCTGAAAATCATAATCTTCACGTATGAAGTAACAAAAAACATAAAACCTTTAGGTAAAAAATCTTGTATTTTATACCATCAGCATTGGCGTAGCTAGAAAATTTTACTGGAGGGGCCTAGCGGGGGCCTGTGGCATTTTTTTTGTTATGTCAAACTACGGTTAAATAGAAAATCTGGAAGTGCCATGCAATTAAAATACATCAAGGCAGTTTCTTATTTTATTTTCCTGTTGGTTACATTTCCTCTTAGCCCAGTAATACAACCTATTATGACGAAGCTTACTATCATTTTAATGGGGAAATATTAAATTTTATTGTATTTATTTCATAACAATGCTTGGGGAGCCTTAAAAACATACTGATTTTGAACAAGCAATGATCGTCCGGATCTCATAAGGGTTTAAAGGATCTCAAACTTTAGAAAATTCTCATGTTAGATAATTCTCAGGGTTAGAGAATTCCATGAATTTTGTAACTAGATTTTTTTAGATCATCTATATTTAATCGTCAATAAAATCTCAGACCTAGGTACCAACATTATATTCTACAACTTAGAATTTATAATTTTCTTAATTTCTGGCTTTGAAATATGGCAATAGAATAAATACATTTAGAACATAGGAGAATGTAGAGCAGCGCCGGTGGTGTAGTGGAAAGCGTGATTACCTCTCAATCCCAGTCGGCGTCGCCGGGATGTTTTGAGGCATAACATCTCTGATCACGCCTTCCTTCGGAAGGGAAGTAAAGCCGTTGATCCCTGGCTCATGAGTTGATGAGTCGATGGGCCCATACATTAATTATGTCACGCTAAATCGAGGAAAAATTTACCTCCCTCCCCCTATCGTCACGTTTTTCCTATACCTAATGCATTGATTGTCACAAAATCTTAGACCCCCCCTTCACCCCTTAGAGCGTGACATAATATATGCATCAACCCTAGGTGGTGTCCAGGTTTGGGAGCTGCCTCCCTGGGGTCGGTAGCATTGGTGCTCAGCCCGAAAAACAAGATCGACGGAAAAAAAAACAAGGAAAACAAATTGAAAAATGTTCAAAATATATGTCAAAGATAAATTCTTAAAACTCTGAAAGTTAAAATAAAAATGATTTTGAGATCCCAAACTCATATGTCTTTAAGATTTTGTAATTTAAAAAAAATAGATATCTCTGATACAGATTGTAAGTATGAATCATTCGAATTCAAATATAAACAAAAGATCGCGAAATTTGATCAATTATAATAATTAAGACTTTAATTTAATTGCAGATCCTTTCTAGACTGTAATTTCATGAACTTTCTAGTACATGAATATTGATGATCGATTCCAGACAAATTCGCAAATCCATAAATTTTCGATTTATTTGTATTTTTCTGAAAATTTTCAGAAACGTTGCTCAAGACCAAGGAATCAAAAATATCTCCAAATGACAAAATGACAAGCAATCAACGAACCGACTGATAACGCTATGTCACCATGACAAGCAGCCCGTGCGACACAGCTCACTCGGGGCGGTAGAAGGAAACGAGCAAATTGTTGGCAAGCTGCTTCACGAAGTAAAGCCGAAGAGGATAAACGTGTGTTAATGGGATATTTTTTGTTATGTCTTTTCTCGATTCAGATCAAGCTATGTAGGATTGGGCGATCTTCAGAGAAAGATCGATCTTGACGTATCGATCATATATTTGGCTGTACGATCGATCCACTGATTAAATATATACGCTTGTCTACGTTGGCACCCCAAGAAATTATTTCCTTTATAATATTCAATTAAATGTTGTCGTGACGGTAAGGACCAATGAGCACAGGAAGGAGGTACAAACCTTCAAATGTTGCTGTATTCGTAAATATCGGAAACGCAAATAGTGACGTCATTGTAGGGAGCGATTCTGATGTTGACGTTATGTTCGTTAAATTTACTACGCAGTCTGTGGTGAGAGTAAATCGGTTTTTTGATGTAAATACACTTACAAAATTTAACACCTTTTTTTGAAGATCGAAAAGATCGAAAGAAGAGATCGATTTTTCGATCTCTTCGTGGGCAAAGAATCGATCTGAAAAATCGGAAACCGGGATGATAAAGATCGATCTTTCAAAGATCGATCCAAGATCGCCCAATCCTAAAGTTATGTACTCACCCGTGTGTATTGCAACAAAGCAGGCAAGCAATATATCATTATCCTTCTACCCCTCCGATCGAGCTATGTTACAAAGCGAGTTTGCCATGGTAGTCGTAGCAACCGTTTTGTCTGCATGGTTGGTTGTTTTATTTGTTTGGATTCGCTACTCATGACGAAAAAATGCCATTTTGAATCTTCAGATCACCATTTTAAATCGAGCCTTAATTTTGAAAAGCCTTAATTTTGATTCGTATTACTGAAATTTATAATGTTTTTTTTTTTTAAAAGGGCTCTTTTTTACGTCACATAATTTTATGGCATCTTCAACAACTATTAATTCTATAAAATCAAACTGTAATAATTCCATATTAGAAATATGTGTAGCTCATAAAATATGCCAAAATCATTATTTTAAAAATATATGCCGATGACTGTATGCAACGTTCCCTCAACATCTAAAAAACTTCATAAGTTTTACAGGAAATTCCCTGAATTTATTCCAAATTCCATATTTTTTTCCACCCCTCTTCATTTTGTTTTAGTTCATTGAGATTTTTTGAAGTAAGATCTCTGACAAACTGCAACGAAGTTCCTTAAACTGAATCGAGGACACCTGAAGATCTAAGCAGATTGCTGAGCTATGTTTAGATCTTCCTTCAAATTCCCTGCACTTATATGAAGTTTTATGCAGCTTCTCAAAACGCTACAAAATTCTGAGAAATTAAAAAAGTTTCCTGCCCTTCTGATTTTTCGCAAAGTGACACCTATGAAATTTCATGAACTTGTACGTAATTCCCTAAACCATTCCAAGCTCATGAGGCTTCAAAAAAAGTATACTGAAATCATATGAAGATCCTCGAACAATAATGAGGTTTCCTGATCTTAAATAAGAGTTAACTTCTACGAAGATCCCAAACCTTGAATAAAGTTCCCACTTCTACCAGAGAGAATAGACGTCCAACTTCGGTCAGAAACTTGTGTAAAGATAAGTGGGAATATCGCCGTTATGTGGCGCTAGCATCTCCTGATTTCCTCTATAAATTTTCCACTTTTGACCAAGTTGGTGCTAGCATCGATACATTTTCTGTTGAAAATTGCCACTTGGCGCTACCAGCACTAAGTGTCTAGTGTAAATTGTGCAACGTCAGCGCCATCAGGTTGTTTTTAAGTGGGGAAGTCGCCGTTAGTGGCGCTAAAGTCAAATAGGAATCTTTACACTAGTTTTTAGATTTTTTTTGTTCGAGCCTCAACGTCTGTTCTCTGTGCTTCTACGCAGTTTTCTGAACTTTCGCAAAGCTCTATGAATTTCTACGAATTTTCCGGAAGCTCTTCCTGAAGTTTCCAGAATTTCTACTAAGTTTCGTTAATTTCTACGATGTTCCCTGAATTTCATAGAAGTTCTTTAAATTTTACGAACTTCCCTGATGGAAAATAATAATCCCTGAACCCAATTTGTTACTGTAACTACAACTGGAAGTCCGTTAATTGAAACAAGTTTCAGTTAAAATAATTGTATATGTAAAATTTATGCACTTCAAAAGTTCTGTGATTAACTTAAAGAGTGTTCTGATTTGTGATTCAAAGGAAATTACTAGATGAGCTCAAAGGGTATTGAATTCCCAGGATGATTTCTAAATAGTTTTGGAGCAAACACCAAGATAATTCTGAGGATGATTGCAAGTGATTTCTTAAGAGAGTTCCCGGGGGATTCCGCGAAGAATACAAGTGAAACCGAATTTTGTGGTT